GTATATATGTGTGTATATACATATACACACACAAAACCACCAAATTCCCATATTGACTATGTCCACAAATGCATGTCTCATTCTGCATACTGAGTCCATCACCTTCTTCATCATTACTCTGCCAGAGTCATGCCACTCATTACACTAACCAGAATAAGTCTTTCAAAGTTGTCCATTTTTATATTTTTTTAATTTTATTTTATTTTTAATTTATGGAATAAAACAAGCATTTCCATAACAGCATAATAAAAAAGACAATTATACACGAAACTGCACATCTACTGTGTACAACTTGCTATTCTTTTTAAATATACAACAAATTTACCATGTAAATTTCTCTTTTCCTTTTTTCTTCCCTCCCCCACTCCACCCTAGAGACAGCCACCATTACACACAAATAAGTGTGTGTGTGTGTATATATATATATATATATATATCTCAGTAAAAGCATTTTATACATACTTCTCTTTATCAGTTCTTTCTCTGGATACATACAGCATCTTTCTTCATATATCCCTTATAGTTAATCTAGGTATTTATAATAGTCAAAATAACTCATTCTCGCCAAGTTGTTCTCAAAACAATTTATTGTTACTGTATATATAAGGGAGGGTGGTGCTCATCAATCATGGACCAATGAAACAAACAGTAGTAAATTAAGGTAATGGAATACTATTGTGCTATAAGACACGACAAAATGAATGGCTTCAGAGAAATAAGAACTTGTAAAGTGTTTCAAGTACCTTTTTGAAATAGGTGTTGGTTAATCTTTGGGAGAGTCTGTTTCCTGCCCCAGACTATTTGCTAAAAATCAGACTTTCAGTGCTCATAGGACCTAGAATGCAACCTACTTGGAGTCAGAAGCTATTTGTTTTGTAGTTGTATCCCTAGTACCTTTTTACATAGTAAATGTGAGCTAAATGCTTACTGAATTGGATTGAATTGGAAGTAAGAAGGTTTAAGATCTCTCTCGCCAGGATGTTTCCAAATGAGGCAGTTGTGGATGACAACAGTTCTTTGTGGATCCATCTTTCTTCCTGGCCATGAGACGTGGCTACATTTCCTTTAGGAAGGCAGAGGCCAACTGAACAGCACTTTTGGTTTCTCTTCTACCCTCTTTTTCCATTAATATGACCCAGGAGTCTCCTTTGAAAGCCCAAGTGTGTGGGAGGAGCAGAGGGGGTGTAAGAACACACAGTTCAGGGAATCAGAGGTGGTCAACAAAGTACTCTCTGGTTCTGTCCTCAAAACTCTTGGCTTATTTTATTCCTTGTGTGTCACTGTACACTTGTTTTTCTCTGAGAAACAGTTTGTCATTTGTTTCTTTTTCTGCATCTCTTTATTGCCCCATTGTCTCATTGCCTCTTCTATTGTTGTCTCTTAAGAGGCCAGTATAGTGGAAACAGCACAGGATGCCAGATACAAAAAAATCAGAATACCTTGGTTAAAATGCTGGCTCTAAAACTGGCAAGCTGTATGACCATAGGCAAGTCACTTAATCTCTCTAAGCCTCAGTTTCCTCAAGTGTAAAATGGGTGATAAAGCTCCTGCTAATTACTTCACAGATTGTTGTGAAGAATGCACTTTGTAAACCTTAAGATGATACACAAAATACAAATTATTATTAGTAATACCCTATGAATGAATTAATGACAGGCATGAGTGAAAAGCATTTATTAAGAACTTATGTGCCAGTAACAGCATTAAGCACCATAGATACAAACACAAGCAAGCAAGATAGTTACTCTCCTTAAGAGCTTACATTCTAATAAGAAAAAATAACACATTTGGGGACAGACGGCTAGGGATGAGCTTCCTGGGCAGGCAAGTCAGAGGGATCGGTGATTAGAGTCAGAAGACATATCCTTTCCAGGAATGGCAATATGATTGGGTAACTGTTCCCAGAGCTGGACTTGAGAAAGAGTAGAGGAAGAGAAATGGTTAGGAGGTGGTGAAGCAGGCCCAAAACGGGCAACATCAAGTATATGTTCACCAATCAAAGTCCACCCAGGGTCACAGCTGTGGAAGCTTGAGTTGCGGACAAATTGGAGGTGACTGCTGCTGAGAAGGCAGTGTGACATGGTTGGCTGAGCAGCGGCAAAGTGGGCTTGAGACAGTAAGATAAAGTGAATTTAAAGTCTATTAACAAATCAATCGAAAGGCTTTATTAATCACCTTCTATGGGCCAGGCACTGGGCTAGGTAGGTACTGAATGAATGAATGAATGAATGAATGAATGAAATGAATGAATGAATGAATGAAAAAAGCTTTTGTTAAACACCGTCCAAAGCACTGTGCTAAGCCTCAGGATCCAAATACAAATACAAATTAAAATGTGAGCTCCTTGAGAGCAGGGACTGTCTTATGAAGAGTATGGAGCTCTCAGAGTACTTTGCATTCTAATGGGGGAAGACTGCACATTCAGCTGCAGGTCAGATGAAAAACTCCCATGATCCTTGGGATATAGCAGCAGAGCAGGCAGTTAATGCCTGTTCTTTAATGTCATTTCCACTGATAAAATCACATCAGTTCTGATGTTGAACCACTTGACAGGGCCAAGGACTTTCCTTTCTGGGTCTTCAGTAGGTGTGGCTGTAGCTCCTGTAGGAGCATCTCCACAGGGGTAGTAGCTGCTCAGGATAGTGGCTGAGGGCACTGGGCTGGAAGCAGCGCTCTTCCCAAGGCTCTTGTGTTCAGGGTCCTTCAAGGTAGTTCCCATCAAGGTCTAAGAGGAGACAGTGGTCATGGTGGTGGTGGTTTCACTTGTCTGGAACACGTCTCCTCTTTCTCCCTCAGGGGGCCATGGTGCTTCAGCCAGGCCAGTGTGGCTGCCCTGTACGTGGCATCTGCTTGGCAGTTGGTGGAGATGGCTGGTCCCTTGTCCATATGAGTTGCTTCCCCAGATGATGGCAGGACTGGTGGTCTGGGAGGTGTTGCCACTCCTAAGGCTCTTGTGCCTCTCTGCCTATTTGGCAGCATTTGGCCAGCAGAAGCTGATGGTGGTGATGAGGAAGGTGTGCCTCCTCTCCACAGTGATTCCTTTAGTCCAAGATGGCTGTAGGGGGCTGGTCTAGAAACCAGGTCTGGTGGTTTGGGAGTGGGGAGGGCACTGCCATTCCCAAGGCTCCTGGACTCAGTCTTAGGCTGCCTCCATCATAGCCCAAGGGGAAATGGAAATCAAGGTGGTGGCAGTGGTTTGACTTGCCTATTATGTTTGGCCTCCTGTCTCTCCCTCAGGGTACCCAGTTGATAGGGATGGGTGGCCCTTTCTCCACAGGAGTTGTTTTTCCAGATGATAGCTTTGAGGGATGGGCTAGAAGTAGAACCAGTAGTCTGAAAGGTACTGCCATTTCCAGGACTTTTGGAGACCCAAAGACAAAACTTCAGCAGTCCCTTCTGTCAATGAGTTTATATTCTCTCTGGGGAGATAACATGTATAAAAAAAGTATATATAAAATAGGTGAAAAATAAATATCAGACAAATTGGAAAATGAAGATTATCTGCTGTGGGGATCAAGAGAAGCTTTATGTAGAAGGTGTCACTTAAGCAAATTTTGAAGGAAACTAGGGATGCTAAGAAGCAGGGGTGAAGAGGGAGTGCATTCCAGCCATGGGGAATAAGCTGGGCAAAAGCACAGAGAAAGAAGCTGGAATGCCATGCATGAGCCAAAAGGCCAGCCTTTTGCAAAGTGTAGGAAGGGGTATAATATATAAGGTTAGAAAAGAAGATAGGCTGGGGCCACCTTTTAAAGGGCTTTGAAAGCCAAATAGAGGAGCTTATACTTGGTCCTAGAGACAGAAGGGAATCATTGGAGTTTACTGAGTAGAAAAGCGACAGAGTCAGACCCCTAATTTATGAAAATTACTTTGGCAGCTGATTGAAAGACCACAGCTCCTGTATGCCATCATGCCATGAAAGTGACCCAAAAAGCTATGCTAAGGGAATACAAACCAAACTCCAGAGGCTCTAAGTGTGGGCCCAGTTATGGGCTGCATGTGAGTACTCTGAGGATCAGTCTAGAAAACTTCAGCTAAGCTCATCCTCAGCTTTGCCACATAGCATTGAATTGTCAAGTCATAGCTCTTCCTGAAGATCATCTGCCAGGTGATAGAAAGATTGGCATTTTTGAAATGTTATCAGCAGCACAACATACAACAGAGCTCTATTTTATTTCTTGCTGTATCTGCTAAATGTAATCAGGTGTTAGCTTATGGTGAAGTGTTCGAAGGAAGCTATGGGTGGGAGTTAGTAGGAAGTTTATTTCAGTTCATCAAAAGGAAGAACTTCCTAACCATTAGAACCATCTGAAAATGGAATAGGTTGCTCGGGAGGTAGTGGTTTCCCCATCACTGGAGGTGCTCAAGCAGGGGCTCAGTGACATTTTAGGTCAGCATTGTTGCAGAGAAAAACTTGCATTATTCAGGCAATTGGGTAAGACAACATCCTAAGCTGCCTTAAAATTCAAAATTGTGTGATTCACTGTTCATGACTTCAAAAGCAGATAAACATAGTGTTTTATGTTTCTCTAAAAACCAAACGGTGTGTGTGTGTGTGTGCGTGTGTGTGTGTGTGTGTGTGTGTGTGTGTGTGTGTTGATTTCTACAGGGCTCTCAGTTGGGTTTCCCTAGGAGTCAGTGGCCTTTTCTAGAAAAAAAGATTCTCTGATCTGGCTGTAGACTTCCTCAAATCTCCTTAAACAATAGGGGCAGTCATCCATCTATGAATCTTATGATGAAAAAAATTAAACCAGGCTCACTGTGTTTAAATTGACATGGATATTTTGGACAGAATTTTATGGTTAAAAATTCCACAGTTTATATATGTCTTCCATGAAATGGAAGGAAAATTCTGGGAAAGACTTTTAGCAACAAAACCACTCTGAGCTTGCAAATATAGGCAACAACCATAACAATAACTCCAGAAAGCAAGGAAATACAGGGGAGCTATTAACCAATTCATTAAAGATTAGAACTCAAGATATCTGTCTCTGCACTTACAGGAAGGAGAGCTCAAAGAAGCTAGTTAGAGCTGATTCTGTCAGTGAGCTTCCTGCTCCCAGAAGACTGAGATGGAAATGTTCCCCAGAAATTCAGGGACACCTGGCCTCCTCAGCAGACACACTTCAACGGTAGGGAAGACCTTTGGGTTTCCTTAGGGTGATTATTCTATATAGCCTCATTGAGTTTTTTAGCCTCTTGGTTTGAGCAATTTTGGAAGTCCCCAAATATTACTGTTACAGCCCTTCTCACCATTGTGTTCTCTTCATGTTAATTCAGTCAAATCAAAGATGAGTTATAACACATGAGGAAATAAGTGTGCTAAAGTAGCCATCATTTACATAAAACACAAAAGGGGGGGGTTGTTGTTTTGGGATTTTTTTAAAGCAGGTTTCATCTGAGGAAACATCTGGGAAACATGATTCACTGAATTCAGAAGGAGTTATAAGCAGATAGTTTGAATAGGTTATTTGAATCCAAGCTATTCCAATTTGCTTAAATTTACAAGGGTAACTTAACACCCCAGAAAGGGAGTGAACCACAGCAGGCTTTAACGGGACTTCAACACAAGTTTATGTATGTCTACAGTTTCTTTCAGCTCTGAAATTCTGTGACTTTATGACTCAGTGGAAAATTACAAGATACTTTCCCACTCTGTTGTGGAATTCTGAGTCACGCCATTCTTCCAAAAGATGGTATGGTTGTTACTGATTAAAATTAATTCATTTGATAAGTCTTTACTGAGTGCCTACTATGTGTCTAGTCTTATGCCTATTATTATTATTATTATTATTATTATTTTTAGGCAATTGGGGTTAAGTGACTTGCCCAGGGTCACACAGCTAGTAAGTGTCAAGTGTTTTGATCTATGGCCAGATTTGAACTCAGGTACTCCTGACTTCAGGGCCGATCCTCTATCCACTGCGCCACCTAGCTGCCCCTATGCCCATTATTACAGGAAGAACTATAACTTATGGAAACTTTTAATCTGTTTGGGGGACAAAATGAAGACACATGCAATAGTTGAGTAACAGTACAGGACTGAACAAAATATGATTTTGTTGCATGATTTGTTAACAAAATAAACGACACGGACAATAAGAACTAAAGGAGTTCAAAGGAACAGAGTAGAATAGTTAAGGAGAATTTGAACAAGGCTTTGAGACAATTAATAGCTTCAACAAAGTTGCAGGCTACAAGGTAAACCCTCAAAAATCAAAAGCATTTGCATATAATAATAATAAGATCCCAGATGTAATAACAGAACTATAAAGGCCATTCCAAATAACTACAAAATGTATAACTCATCTGGGGACCAATCTGCCAAAGCATACAAAACACTGAGTTTGGATTCAATCACAGCGTGCTCCTTAAAGAAATAAAGAACAACTTATACACCTGGAGGAACACTCAGTGCTCGTTGTTGGGATGTGCCAATATAACAAAAATGGTGATACTACCAAAGTAAAGCTACACTTTTTAATACCATATTAATCAAATTACTAAAAGAATATTTTATAAAATTTGACAAATTGCCAATAACAAAATTCTTCTGAAAAAAATATATAGATCTAGATCAGATGTGGGGAACTTGCAGCCTTGAGGCCACGTGTGACCCTCTAGGTCCTCAAGTGAGGCCCTTAACTAAATCCAAACTTCATAGAATAAATCCCTTTAATAAAAGGATTTATTCTATAAAACTTGGGCTCAGTCAAAAGACTGCACCCAAGGACCTAGAAGACCACATGTGGCCTCAAGGAAGCAGGTTCCCTACCTCTGAGATTCTAGAATATTAAAGGAAATTATAAAAAGGTAGGAGTTAAAGGGGACTAGCATTTCCAGACCTCAAACTATATCATAAAGCAGCTATCATCAAAAAACATCTAGTACTAGTTTAAAAATAGAGGTAGACCAATGAAACAGACTAGACAAGGGAGAATCAGAAACAATGTAACTCAATAACCCAGAATTCAATAAACCAGAAAATATAAATTACTTAGGACAAAACTCTCTATTTAATAAAAACTATTGGCAAAACTGGAAAGTTAGAAATTAAGCTTAGGCCAACACCTTACATTGTATTTCTTTCTTTTTTTTTCCTTTTTAGGCAATTGGGGTTAAGTGACTTGCCCAGGGTCACACAGCTAGTAAGTGTCAAATGTTTGGTCTGAGGCTGGATTTGAACTCAGGTACTCCTGACTTCAGGGCCGATGCTCTATCCACCGCGCCACCTAGCTGCCCCTTTACATTGTATTTCAAAACACATTCTAAATAGATACATGACCTCAATATTAAAAATCATACTATAAAAAATTAGAAAAAGAAGCAAATCATATATTTCTCACAGTTACAGGTAGGATATGCATTCTTAACCAAATAAAAGATGCAATTACAAAAGATAAAATAGATAACTTTGATAAGCAAAACTGAAAAGTTTCTGCACAGACAAAATTAATACACCTAGGATGAGAAGGTTAAGTGGGGAGAAAATCTTTGTAGCAGATTTTCTTGATGGCTTTGGTACCCAAGATTTATAAACAAATAACAAACATATATACATATAATACATAAACACACATATATGTTATCTATATACATATATATATGAACAAAATCTACTCCCCAATTGATAAGTGGCCCAAAGATATGAAGAAAGTTTTCAAAAGAATTACAAACTATTAATAACCATATGAAAGAAAGCTCCAAATCACTAAAAACAATTGTGAGGTTTCACTACAACAAAAGATGACAATAAGTCAGTGCTAGAGGGTTTGTGGGAAGACAGGCACACTAGTACACTGGAGTAACTATGAATCAGTACAACCATTTTGGAAATCAATTTGGAACTATGCAAGTAAAGTGACTAAATGTCCATACTCTTTAACCCAGAGGCCATTGATAAGAATAAAGTCCCCTATATACACCAAAATATTTACAGCCCCATTTTTTGTGATAGTAAAGAAGAGAAAACAAATTAGATGTCCATTGACTGCGAAATGGCTAAACAAATTGTGGTACATGAATGTAATGGAATGTTATTGTGCTGTAAGAAATGATGAATGTGATGAATACAGAGCAGCATGGAAAAGATCTACATGAACTGATGCAGATGAAGCAAGCAAGGCCATGAAAACAATATGCACAATGACTATAACAACATAAATGGGAAGAACAACCAAAAATAACCAAATTTTTAAAAAATCAACCAAAAAGTGAATGCTGCAAAATTATAAAGAGCAAGCATGGCTTAAAAGGAGAGATACAAGGGACAGCTAGGTGGCACAGTGGATATACCACGTCCCTGAAGTCAGGAGCACCTGAGTTCAAATGTGGCCTCAGACCAAACACTTGACACTTACTAGCTGTGTGACCCTGGGCAAGTCACTTAACCCCAATACAAGATACAAGAAGACTCCCTTCCCTCCAACCTCCCATTTGCATGTGAAGACTTCCCCTGAGGGCATAGATGGAAGAGAACAATGTGTTCCAAAGGCTACTCTGGAGGCACTCTGGAAGGCTTAGAGCTTGGTTAGACATTAAAGACACAAATGTGATCCACTGTGTCCTGGGCCATTGCCCATCATCTTGACTTCTGTCCTGTCACTGACTTTGGTGACTCTCTCTGGAAGAGAGATAAGCTGATGACTTTGTGCAACTGTGCCTCACTTAAATCCAATTCACAAGCAAGTCCATTGGTCCTCTTTGAAATGAAGGAGCACTTTTACCGAAAAAGTTACTTCTAGAAGCAATGTCCCAATGAATTTGATCCTAATTTTATAACCAATGATAAAGGCCCAGCAAAGTAGTTGGAAAAAAAGCCAGGGAGTAGGGAATAGAGTGCAGCACACCTGGGGTCTGCCTTAAATAGTGAACCAGATGAGGCAGGGTCCACGGTAGACACTCTGGAAACCTCCAGGGCATAGTCTCCAGTTCAAGTTTTAATGTAACCTTTTATTTGATAATGATTATTTTTCATGTTTTTTCCAGGAACTGGATTACTGCATTGCAAAAAATAATCAGAAATAGATGTTGAATGTAATATCATTACATTTTCTTAAGGAGCATAAATCATGTTTTAATCCTATTCATATGTTGTGAATACTTACTGAAATTTTATTTTCAGATGAAATATTTTATCTGCTGATTCAAATTCCCTCCTTCTCTGATTACTCCTGCCCACACTGATCAGTTCTCTGAACTCTAATAACACTGATAATCTGTACTATGCAATCTAACATGGGGTGTGCTGGTGTCAGCTCGTACCAGAGCTCAAAAGTCAATTGTTAAATTTTCAGTGAGAGCACTTGGACCTCAGAAATTGGCAAATGATGAAAATCAATACTTGATTTATTATTCTGCTGATTTCTAGACTTAAGAAAGTGATGGAGAAAATGTTAATAATGCAGATCAGATTTTTAAGTGGGTGTGTGTACTGTTAGTTGTTGTTGTTGTTAAGAAAGCAAATTGTTAAGACATTTACCAGCATACCTCTGGGTATAAGATATACTTATTTCATATTCAGTTCATACTCAGAGCAGACACTGAGGAAATAAAACAGGTAAACAAAGAACAGGGCAGCTAGGTGGCACAATATAATTTTAAGCACTGGGCTTAAAATCAAGAAGACTCATCTTCTTGAGTTCAAATCTGGCCTTGAACACCCACTAGCTGTGTGACCCTGGGCAAGTCACTTAACCCTGTTTGCTTCAGTTCCTCATCTGTAAAATGAGCTGAAGAAGGAAATGGCAAATTGCTCTAATATCTTTGCCAAGAAAACTCCAAAGTGGGGTCACAAAGAGTTGGATGTGACTGAAACAACTCAACAAAAAACAGAGAAGTAAATACAAAGTAATTTTAAGAGGGAGACAACACTATCATTTAGCAGAATCATGAAAAGGTAGCATCTGAGCTATGCTTTAAAATAAGCTAGGTGTCCTCCAAGACAGAGATGAGGGCCATAAGCATTTCAGGAATGGGGCGGGGGAGGAAGTAGGGAGAGAGAGGCTGGCCATTTGTGGTTGAAACAGGAGATAGAATGTTGCACACGTGTACATGTTGACTCCCTGACAAACGTGTCAACTCCTTAAGCAGAGATTATATCATCTATCATCCTGTACAAGATCAAGTAGGCCTATAACAGGTACTTAATAAATACTCACTGAATTTAGCCACTCAACAAGTATTATTAAATACTTGTTATGTACCAGGCTCCATGCTAAACTTTGAGAATACAACAAAAGGTAAAAACACAGTCCCTGACCTCAATAATCTTTAGTTTAAGATACACAAAAATCAGTTGATGATGTAAAACTAGAGTTTAGGAGAGAGAATGGATCTGTGTACCATCTGAGTAGAGATGATAATTAAATTCATGGGAACTCCTGAGATTATCAAGCAAGACAATACAAAGGGAAAAGGCAAGAGAGCCCAGAACGGAGCTTTGGGGACAGTGACATAATGGGCATGACCTGGACAAAGATCTAGCAAAGGAGACTGAGGAGGACCAGTTAGACGAGAAGAACCAGGAGAGAACAGTGTCACTAGACAGAAAGAGAGACTATCCAGGAGAAAAGGGTGATCACAGCAGTGTCAAAGGCTGAAGAAGTCATGAAGGATGAGACTGAGAAAAAGTACTCGGACATAGCAATTATGAGATCATTGGTAACTTTGGGAAGAGCAGTTTCGCTTGAAATATATAATCAGAAGCCAGACTATAAAAGGAGTTAAAATCAAATGAGAAGCATAGAAGTGGAGGCACCTAATGTAGACAGCTTTCTCAAGAAGACTGGCCACAGAGATGAGATATAGGATGCTAGCTAGCAAGTATGGTTGGATCAAGTGAATTTTCTAAGAGGGAGGAGAAATGGGTATGTTTGAAGGTAGCAGGTAAGCAGCCAGGAGCTTGGGAGAGATTCAAAGTTAGTGAGAAAGCAGAAATAACAGAGAGGGCAGTCTGCTGGAGAAGCAGGAAGGAATGGGGTGACTTATTTAAGTAGAATGATTTGCCTAGGCAAGGAGAAGAGCTACCTTTTCACGAGATAGGAGCAAAGAAGGGGATAGCAAGAGAAGTCATCTGAGTGATGACAGATGAAGAGGACAGGGGGAAAGGGAGCTCTTAGAATTAGACCTCAAGTTTTTCATTTATATATGAAATAAGGTTCTCGGCCAGAATGGTTAGGGGAGGTAGTGCCATGGGAAGCTTCAGGAAGGATGAAAAGGTTTGGAATGGTCACTGTAGCAAATGAAATAGTGAATTAATTACGGAAGTGAGAAATCATTGCCTTGCTGCAGCGAAATCCCAGTTGAGACTATGTAATATAAATTTATAATAGATCCAGTCAGCACAGTATTGTGATTTTCTCCAGCCTTGTATGACAGCAAGTGAATAGGATTGAAGGTAGTGGGTGGTGGAAATAAATCAAGATTCAGGTTTAATAAGCATAATCACCTCAGGACAAGGGGACAGCAGATTTGAGTGTAGAGGATAGTATAGACTGGAATTGTTTCACAAATGAATTGGGATCATAGCCTGGGGAAAATTGAGTAGTAGGGTGATTGGAGGTCTTGGTGAGAATAGTAGAACAGGGTTAGGGATTATAAGGTAGAAAGAAAGATGAAATGATAAAATATTATGATCACATAAAGCAAAAGTCATTAACTTTTTCTGTGTAATGGACCCATTAGCAGTCTGGTGAAGCCTATGGACTCCTCAAAATACTGTTTTCAAATACATAAAATAAATCACATGAGATTATAAAGGAAACCAATTATATCTAACTATGTTTACCCAAAAATTTTTAAGTTCATGTACTTTTGAGATAAAGGAATTTTGGAGTTTATGAACATGGAAGTAGAACACTTATAGGTGATGGCAAAATCAAAGGTAGAGCCATCTCTCTCTATAGGTATCTATAAATGAGGTAGAGGGACAGACAAAGTCATGAGGACTGAGATGTTAGAGTGTGTGATGTAGTATTTTTTTTTTAGGCAACTGGGGTTAAGTGACTTGCCCAGGGTCACACAGCTAGTAAGTGTCAAGTTTTTGGTCTGAGGCCACATTTGAACTCAGGTCCTCCTGACTTCAGGGCCAGCGCTCTATCCACTGTGGCACCTAGCTGCCCCTGTGATGTAGTATTGATATGTATGTTGAAGAATTGAAAATATAAATAATATTTTATGTTAAAAAATAATTTTCTTTTTATTCTCAGGATAGTGAAGAATCTTGACTTCACTGTTTATAAGTTTGAATACTTTGGGAAAGAGTTCATTAAGAAACAAAGGACCAGCCCAGATGCTTATATTCAGGTGGCACTCCAGTTGACCTTTTATAGGTGAGTAAAACAAAATCAAAGAAAAGATCTTTTAAAAGTAAGGACTGAATCCTCTTAGTGCTAAAGAAATGCACCTAATATTTTTTTTCTGCTGCACACAATAAACTGTTATCCCTTATAGGATATATTGTTCCTACACCTAGAATGGGGCATATAAACCCTCTAAGAAAGGAAGCACAATGTCCCTGGTACTCATAAAATGACACTAATAAAAAACTCTGAAGTAAAAGAAAAGTACTCAACCAAACAGGGGCTATATGATTCAGATTTCCTGTTAAAGATTCAACTATGTTTTAAATCACTAAGAAATTAATTAAGTCTGTTTCTTACACCTTTTGACAAGACACCTTTGGGATGGCAGGCATCTTCCAAAGGCTTGCCATAGTTATGGCTTTATCCATACCAGGCTCATATGAATATATAAATACTCACATATACATATACACACATATATGTGAATTGTCTTAGATCATTATATTGATCAGAGTGGCCAATTCTTTTGCAGTTGAAAATCATTACAACATTGCTGTTACTGTGCACAATGATCTCCTGATTTTTCTCACTTCACTTTGGATCAGTTCATATATGTCTTACCACGGTTTTTTTTTTTTCTGAAACCACTATCCCCATCATTTGCCACAGCATAACAGTACTCTATCATAATCACATCACAAGTTGTTTAGCCATTCCTCAACTGATGAGCATCCCTTCGATTTTCAATTCTTTGCTACACAAACAGTTGCTATAAATATTTTGTGTGTGGAGAGAGAGAGAGAAAGAGAGAGAGAGAGAGAGAGAGAGAGAGAGAGAGAGAGAGAGAGAGAGAGAGATATGTCCTTTTTCTTTGATATATTTAGGATACAAACCTAGTAGTGACATTTCTGGGTCAAAGGGTACGTATAGTTTTATAGCTCTTTGGGCCTAGTTCCAAATTTTTCTCTAAAATAGTCCGACCAGTTCACTAAGCCACCAACAGTTCATTAGTGTACCTATTTTCCCCTCATCCGTTCCAGCATTTGTCATTTCTGATAGATACGAGGTAGTGTACCTCAAAGTTGTTTTAATTTTATTTTCTCTAATCAATAGTGATTTAGAACATTTTTTCATATTACTATAAATGGTTTTGATTTCTTTTTCTGAAAACTGCCTGTTTATATCCTTTGACCATTTATCAATTGGGGAATGCCTCTTATTTTAATAAATTAGACTCAGTTTATGCTTAGTATACATTTGAGAAATGAGGCCTTTATCAGAGAAACTTGTAAAATTTTTTTATATTATTTCATTGGCTATGGTACCTTTTCTCAAAATGCAGTTTCTTTCATTATCCCTTTTAATTAGGTCTATTTTTGCTTTTGTTTTGTCTGAGATCATGATTGCTAGCCCTGACTTTTTTTATTTCAGCTGAAGCATATTAGAGTCTGCTCCAGTTCCTTATTTTAATTCTACAGGTATCTTTCTGTTTCAAGAGTGTCTCTTGTAAAAAACATATTGTTGGATTCTGGTTTCTAATCTACTCTGCTCTCTGCTTCCATTTTATGGGTGAACTCGTCCCATTCACATTCAGAGTTATGATTACTAACTGTGTATTTCCCTCCATCCCATTTTCTTTTATTTCTTATTTCCTCCTTTTATCCTGTCCCGCCTCAAAAGTCTATTTTGCTTCTAATCACTGCCTCCTTTTATCATCCCCCCTCTTTCTCTTATTCCCTTCCCCTCCTATTTCCCTATTAGGGGAGTTACATGTCTATACACAACTGAGTATGTGTGTATGTGTATGTCTTCTTCCTTCTTTGAACCAATTCTGATGGGAGTGAGGTTCAAATATTGCCTGCTATCCTATTTTTCCCTCCTCTATAAAAACTTTTCCTTGCATACCTGTTTTACATGAGAAAAATTTCCCCATTCTACCTCTCCCTCCCCCCGTCTCCCAGTGCATTCCTCTTACTCACCCCTTCATTTTTTTTGGAGATCATTCCAACATAATCAGCCCACATCTGACCTCTATCTATGCAAACTCCTTTTAACTCCCCTAATAATCATAAAGTTCTTAGTAGTTACATAGATTATCCTCCCATGCAGTAATGTAAATAGTTTAACTTTATTGAAACTGTTATGATTTCTCTTCCATGTTTACTTTTCTATGCTTCTCTTGAGTCTTGTATTTGAATGTCAAATTTTCTATCAGCTCTCATCTTTTCATCAGGAATGCTTGAAAGTCCTTTATTTCATTAAATACTCATTTTTCCTCTTTAGGATTATACTCAATTTTTCTGGGTAGGCTATTCTTGGTTGTAATCCTAACTCCTTTGTCTTCTGGAATATCATATTCCAAGCCCTCTACTCCTTTAATGTGGAAGCGACTAAATTATTGTGTGATCCTGACTGTGGCTCCACAATATTTCAATTGTTTCCTTCTGGCTGCTTGAAATAGTTTCTCTTTGACCTGGGAGCTCTGGAATATGGCTATACTATTCCTGGTAGTTTTCATTTTGGGATCTCTTTCAGGAAGTGATTGGTGATTTCGTTCCATTTCTGTTTTAACCTCTGGATCTAAGATATTGGGCAGTTTTCCTTGATAATTTTTTGAAAAATTATGTCTAGTTTCTTTCTTTGATTATGGCTTTCTGGTGGTTGAATAATTCTCAAATTATCTCTTCTCAATCTATTTTCCAGGTCAGTTGTTTTTCTGATAAGATATTTCATATTTTCTTCTATTTTTTCATTCTTTTGACTTTTTTTCCCTTGATGTCTCACGAAGTCATTAGCTTCCACTTGTCTAATTCTAATTTCTAGGGACTATTTTCTTTAGTGAGCTTTTGTACTTCCTTTTCCATTCGGCTAATTCTGTTTTTTAAGTTTTTCTTCTTTCTGTTTCTTAAGTTCTCCATTTCAATCCCCAGTGAACTTTCATACCTCCTTTTCAATTTGGTCCATTCTGCTTTTTAAGGAGTTCTCTTCAGAATTTTTGTGCCTCTTTTACTATTAGGCCAATTCTGTTTTTTAAGGTGTTGTTTTCTTTAGTATTTTACTATACTGTTAATCCTCTTCCTAATTTTCTTATGTTACTCTCATTTCTTTTCCCAATTTTTCCTCTACCACTCATCTATTTAACTGTTATAGGAATTTTTGCTGGATTTGGGTCCAATTAGCATTTTTGAGTCTTTGGTTGTAGCTATTTTTTACAGTGTTGTCTTCTCCTGAATTCATGTCTTGGTCTTCCCTACCACCATAGTAGCTTTTCATGGTCAAATTCTTTTTTTTGTTGGTTACACATTTTTTCCAGCCCATTTCTTGACTTTGAATTTTGTGTTAAAGTTGGGCTCTGTTTACCTGGAAGTGGGGAGGCACTATCCCAAGCTTCAGGCTTTTTGTGATGCTGCTTTTAGAGCTAGTTCTGGGGGTCTTCAAGTTTTTAGTGCTTCCAAAGTGATGTGATTCTGGGAGAGGTGTGAGTCACTGCTCTCCTGGTCTGTGCCCTAGTTTTTACTCAGGAAAGGCCCCTGCTCACCTGTAACCACAAGTGCTAGTGCTCTTCTTTACCTTAGAATTGTGACCAGGGCCCCTGATCTTATGACTGACCCCCAACATTCCTCTCTACTCTGGAACTGCAAACCAGAACTGTGTATGGGCAGTAGAGTTACCAATCAGTGCCAGCTGTACCCAATTTCAGCAAAAAGGTCCCCTGTAAACTCTTTCTGACTAGTTGTTTTATACCCTTAGCACCTCTGGACTGACAGTTCCCAAAGCTGCTGCTGCAGTGGTCACTGTTGCTGCCAATGTGTATATGGTCTCTGAACAGACTTCCACCCCAGTGTCACAAACTTCTGCCAACCTCCTTAGTTTTCTTAGGTCAGAAAACTTCTTACCCTGCCCTTCTGTTGGCTCTGCCACTCCAAAATGTGATTTGAGGCATTATTTTAATGTTGCTTGGAGGGTAATATTGAGAGAGTTCATTGGGTTGCCTCTACTGCACTGTCTTGGCTCCCTTTCAACCCTCAGAATTTTTTCAGCACTGCTGTCTAACTATGCCTCTTCTATCTTATTTTTGTGAAGTTGATTTTTGGACCCAAGTGGAAGACTTTCCATTTATTTCTAATAAATTTCATCTTGTCATATTCAGTCCCATGCTCTCTCCAGCCTCCCAAGATTCTTCCATGTACTAACACTGTCATACACTGTGTTAGCCATCCCTCCCAGGTTGGCATCATCTGCAAATTTGATAAGCCTGTCATCTATGCTGTTATCCAAGTCACTGATATAAATTTTAAACAGCACAAGCCAAGCACAAATATCTGGAATACTCTACTGAAGACCCCCCTGCCAACTTGACATTGAATAATTATCAATTACTCTTTGAGTTGGCCATCCAACCAGTTCTGAATCCATATAATTAAATTTCATATAACCCATTACTCCCCATTTTCTCTAAAAGTATAGCATGAGACATTTTATTTAAAACTTTGCTAAGTAAACTATATCCATAGCATTCTTATCTATTAGTTTAGTAATCCTGTCAAAAAATGAAATAAAGTTAGTTCAGCATAACCTGTTCTTGATGAAGCGATACTGACTCTTCATAATTACTGCTTCCTTATCTAGATGTTTACCAACTATCTCTTTAATGATCCATTCTAGAGTTTTCCTAGGAAATAACATATATGTATATGTGTAAAGTATATCTATATGAGTCAAGTTCATTGGTCTATAGTTTGGACACTCCATTCTCATTCTTTTTTTGAAAATCAGGACATCTGTCTTTCTCCAATCTTGTGGCATCTCTCTTGTTTCCAGTGGTCTTTCAGATCATCACTAATATTGGTTCAGTAATTACATCTGCCAGTTCTTTCAGGATCTGGGTATACATTTCATCTGGGCCAAGTGACTTGAATTCATCAAGGGAAATTAGTTTCTGTCTTACTATCTCTTATCTTGGTCATCCATTCCCTGTTGATCATTTTCATTCTGTCATTTCCAATGTAAAGGTAATTCTTTTGCAGAGAAATCAGAAACACAAAAATTGTGCAGCTTTACCTTCTCTCTATTGCCATTTATCACCACCATATCCACCTCCAAGCAAAGGTCCCATCCTTTCTTTGATGCAACTTTTTCTCCAAACATAGCTTAAAAAATCTTTTTGTCATCCTTACACTCCTGTACCAACCTCAGCTCATTCCAAGCATCGACATTTTTACCATTATTTTTAAAGGGTTCTACCACATTAATGTTTATATGACCTGGCCTTGCCTCCATCCTCTGTACATTTCTTTTTAAAATCTAAGTTGAGATGGTAAGTTCTGTATATCCACACTGGTATTTTCAGATAAATTTCATTTTTCTTCCTTGTTAAAAGTTTCCCTTTTTGTCCTTGGAATTTTATTTTTTAATACCTCCGATCCTTCCTGGGTTGCTTTACTTCATGGAATCCTATCTTTCCTCTGTCTCCATGCTTAAGTATCAGTGATACAAGTGAGGTCAAATTTGCTTCCTTATATTAAGACCTCAAATTCCTCTTATTTGTTGCCTAAACTTAGGGTATTTGTCACTAGACATTTAAAACCATGGGTTTTGCTACTGACTTTTTTCTTCTATTTTTGTTTCATAAGAAGTTCTGAGTATCCCAGCTGCTATTTCTCCTCCTTTGTGACTACCCTTCTTCAATATCTAACTACAGGGATATACATAAGCAGTCCACGTCTATGTGTCTGTATCTATGTCTATGTTTATACATATGCATATACTTCTATAATAGGGAGATTTTCATAATAGCACACAAAATTTGGAAGTCTTTAGATTTCTATACTTCAAAAAATCTATGATTTCATCAACACAGATATTCCCTCCACCAGTGTGGATTGTAATTCCACAAGAGTTACCAGCGAACAACACCACTCTCTTTATCTTAGCTGGCACTTGGATGACAAAGCACACCATAAGCATATGGTACTGGAAGCCTTTTCCAGTTTGGCAACACCAACAGGATTTGCACACTCTACTGGCATATCTTTAAGGAACTCAGAGTCATCACCATGCTACAGTGAGACATCACAGTAAGGTTTTAATATAAGACTTGAAAACACTCAAGGTTAAATATCAGCTCTGCTACTTACTGTGTGGCCTTGTGACAAATCATTTCACTTCTCTGGGCCTCAGTTTCCTCACCTGTGAAACAAAAGGTTTGAAATGCATAACATTAAAAAGTTAAATAACAGCATATAAAGTAATGCCATACAACCTCATTTCTTTACCATATACTCATTCAGACTTCTGTCGTGATGAACAATTAGCATGAAGTAAATTTTACTCTTGGAGAAGTAATGAGCAGAGAAATGTTCTCAAATCAGAAAAACCAGTCTGGTTGGATGTCAAGAACATGAAGTGTTTCATTGCTACATTTTTATGAACTTTTCCTTGTATCCTCTGGACGCTTGAAAACAAGACAAATAAGGGCTCAATAAATATATGCTGATTAGCTGATACTCTAAAAGTTCCTAAGTCTTGGATCATTTTGAATCTTCATCTCTACTACAAGACAGCTATTTTCTTAAGCCTCCTATGAGTCATGGTTGAAGGCTTAGGACTTTCATATTAAAGCTTTTACCAAACTGCCTCAGAAAAGAGATACTCTCATTCTTTTCTAAGGCTAATTTGATCTTAACAGGTACCCTATCCTTCAGAACCTTGCTTCTAAATCATCTTTCTTATATATCTTCAATCTCTTCCTTTCTCTTTACTGTATTTTTTTACTTTCAGTTTATTGCTATGTTTTATTTTTGCATTATAAACATTTACAGATTACTCCCATTTCACAAGAGGTCATTTATAACTAAGTAAAATGAATAATATGGTGACCTTGTCTTAAAATTTACTCACCATTTCACAACTGTAGAGCTCCCTCCCATATCTGTATTTTAAAAAAATTAACAAATATCTATCTCTCCTTCCCACCGCTATTTAAAAAAAGAAAATTTCTGGTAATAAATATGCATAGTCAAGCAAATTATCCCAAAATTATTTTTAAAGTGTTTTAAATTGTTCTGCTGGTTCTGCTAATCTTATTCTTCATTAGTTTATCAAAGTCCTCAAAATTGTTCATTTTTATAATATTGATATTATCGTATGAATTGTTCTTTTGGTTCTGCTCACTTCATTGTGAGTCAGTTCATATCATTTTCCATGTCTTTTTGAAATCATCTTTTTTTTTAACTTTCTACAGCACAAATTCTCTTCTTTATGGTTCCTTAGCATTTGTCTCCTAATGTGCTCTATTCATATACACACACACATACACATATACACACAATGTATATGTGTATGTGTATTCTTTAAAGCCTTCCCTCTACTCTTTTACCCCATTCAGTCTCTTTTCTCCTCTTCGTGGCCAGACTTTTTGAAAAACTTGTCTATACATAATGTCTGCACCTCTCATCAATCCCTTCTGTTTGGGTCCTATCCCGTCACTACATTAAAACTGCTGTTTTGAAAGTCATCAATAAGCTCCTAGTTGTCAAATCGAGTGGAATTTTTTAGTCCTCTGACCTCTCTGCAGCATTGACATTGACCCCTTCTTAATGAATACCCTTTCCTCCCTTGGCTTTGGAGATACCACATTTTTCAAGCTCTCCTATTTCTAACTGCTCTTTGTCTTCATTCACTAACTGCTTGTCCTCTTTCTCACTCATTATAGTGGGTGCTATTATAGTCATCTTTTATTCTTCCTCTAAATTCTATTCATTAGTATATCTTCAGGGTCATGTCAATGCGCTTGCACCTGGCACGATAGGTACTAAATACATTTTTGTTGATTAATTATTGTCAATTTAGTGAGAAAAATGTTGCCACGTTGGGTATGCAATGCCCACTAAAAACAATTCCTCCCCAGGGCCCTGGCCTACCATTGCCTACCATATGGGTATAGAAACAAATTTTGTTTTGTTTTGTTGAGGCCTTGAGAACAGTGGTCACTCTAGCAGAGATCAATAGAGATTCATCAGGCCCTGATATATATTCAAAACCCATCTGCTTTCTGGAAAAGAACTAGATAGCTTTTCTTTTCCCCCTTAGCCTAAGGTTTCTCTTTGCCTAGAACAAACAATAAGGTATTGCTTGTGAGGTTTCAAATAAAGCAGATTTCCAGTAAGGGCAAATGATTAATTGCACAATTATTTCATTCTCTACTACTAATCATTCTTCAGATCTTTCAGTAAATTCTAGATTTTGCAATGTATATTTTTTAAGACATCAACCAATGTTTTTCTCTTTTACCAGTAATGCATAACAAATACATGTTACTGTATTCAACCCTTCATATTAGAAGAGCTTTAACATCCATCTTTAGGGGATCTCTTATAGAACTCTACTAACATTAAAATGAAATACTATGCCAAATAAAATCAGGATTGTAAAAATGAAACCTACTGAGGCTATTTTTCTTTCAGCATTTATGATTCCTCCCAAATAAATTATTTGCCATTCATACTTCATTCTGTGCAGATGCCACCAGAGACTTGTCCCTACATACGAAAGTGCTTCCATTCGCCGATTTGAAGAGGGACGAGTTGACAACATTAGGTCAGCAACGCCTGAAGCACTGGCTTTTGTGAAAGCAATGATTGATGAAAAATCATCTGTACCGGTAGGTGTAGCTATTTTAGTTGGACTTCAAAAATAATCCATGCTGCTTCATCTCCAGGGAGAAATGGCAATTCCATGCAGCTCAGTCATTTGGTTCCTCTCTGATAGGCCTCTCTGTACAGTCCTTTACTGAGTAATGCTTTAAACCTCTTATATTTTATATAATTCTGATCTGTTGGCAGGACTCAGAGAAGATGTTTCTTTTAAAAGAAGCCATCAGGGCTCAGACAGAATACACTGTTTTGGTGAGTGAGATCTCTGCTTTATTTTTTTTAATTGCTGGAATTAGAACCAATGTTTATTAAAGACAATATGACAGAGCTTAGCAACTAAAGGACATCAACAGAGCCTAGCAAATACTAATGCTAATAGAACAAACACTCTTCCATGTTTCATTGTATCAGATTAGATATATAGGTAGATACACAGAGATATATACATACCAAACTATACATATATAATTAGTGATCATTTACACTGGCCTGAACAGAAATTTACCTTTATGCTAGCTATGAAAAAGGTGTTTTCAAGCAAATTGAGAGTAAAGATTTAACAGAACTCACTTTATATACAAAGTACAATAATTTAAGCCCACTGTTTAAGTTATTTCTTTATTAGGACCTAATTTTTAGCTTAGTACCTAAAATCATTCTCATCTATTCTTTAAAAAACAATCCCAACTAGGAGGCATATTGCTGATCTAATTTAAGACTATATACATGTGAGAAAATAAAAGAGCTTAATTTCTATTTTTAAAGTCTTTAATTCATACTTTTCACTAATTCAGACACAATGAACTCTCTTCCCAATTCAGCCAAATTAGTAAAGTTTTACAAGACTTGTAGAGATTGAAATGCATTTTCCTTTACTAATTGCCATTAATGAACCCAATCAATCAATTATTATCAAGTACTTATTAAGTATCTGCTATGTACCATTCACTGCTCTAGGTATTGGCAATACAAGTTCAAAGAGTGAAACAATCCCTACTGACAAGCAGCTTACTTTCTAATGGGGAAGATAAACAAGTACATACATACATACATACATACATACATATATAGATATAGGTATATATACATATAGCATAAATATAAAGTTAATAAATACAAATCTATGCAACTTAGATACTAGGTAGTTTGAGGAGGGCAGGAACTTGCACTTGGAGGATCAGAAAAATCAAGACAGAACCTCTTATTTAAAATAAAGAAAAAATCTTAATTATAGACAGTTAAACAGAAATGATGGCCCAAAAGTCTTAGTGTAGTTTTCAGCCCTAATAGCTTTAAACTGCACTAAGACTTCTGGGATATCCTGTATAATTAATAAATTTATTAATTGTTCTTCCAGCTATTTATTCAGTTCTATTTTATTCACTCAAACCTAGAACAACTGTTGTCAAAGCCCCAACAGACAACCTGTTGCCTCACAAAATAAGCACAGTTTATCATGACTTCAGTTTTCCCCTTTATTAGGATTTAACAGGGACACTGGCATCATATAAATGTAGAACTCATTAGACAATATTACCTTGGATGTCCCCTCAAAAGTTACTTATTAGCTTGCCATTTCCCTTAAGACATGACACTGATATATTTGGTTAGGAAACTTAAAAATTTTATATGATCAAATGGACTTTTAAAAAAATCATTAAATTAGTTTTCCGCTCTGGAAAAAGTCAAGCCAACCACTTCTAAGAATCTGGTTCTAGCTTTAACCACATGGACTTCTAGGTGCAAGAAATAGTTGCCAGCAGTTCACTAGTCTGAAGTACCAGCCATTCAAACACTGTATTTCTCACCCTTTGGATCATCATTGGAAAATGGAGGCTTCAATGTGATGATGAGGCTACTCTCCTAGAACTAAATAGTCTTATACCACAGCCTTTTCTCTTGTTCCTGCAGTACAAATCTCATTAGTGCTAGAAGCAGGCCCTAACTCCATTTGAGCCAATGGCATACCAACTTTCAATAGCCTGATCAAGCTTTTGTCTTTGCCTGTAGCCTGGCCTCCCATTGTGTAAGAATGCCAATAACCCATCAGTGAACCACAGTCCCTCTAAGTATCTGCAGGCTCTGTCACCATTAATTGGTAGGACAACCATAGTTAATTAGATTGACTTCAAATTATTAGCATCAGAATCATGCAGTAGTATTTCTATTAAAAACAAATTATTCATTAAAAACAAAAATAGCCTAAGTATCATGGAAGGGAATGTGCTGGTTCAAGGAGCACAAACAATTTTGGAAACTCGGAAATCCTGAGTTTTACCAAATGGAGGGGAAAGGGATGGAATAGGGAAAGAAAGGGAATGGGACTAGAGAAAACAGAGCAAACAGAGTGGAGTAAAATGGAATAGAATGGAGCAAGTATACCAGAATAGAATCAAATAACCTTCCACATCACAGACTTTCTAGTTTTCTTCCCATTCTACCCAGGCCATCACTGGTATGGCAATCGACAATCATCTACTGGGGCTGAGGGAAATAGCCCGAGGACTCTGCAAAGAGCTGCCAGAGATGTTCACAGATGAAACCTACTTGACAAGCAATAGATTTGTCCTCTCAACCAGCCAGGTAGGAGTTTGGAATCACCTGTTCATTCAAGAAATCAAACAGTTTTAGTGTGGTCACCTTTCTTGTGAAATGCTATGCAACAACCCAATTTTAAGCTAGTATTTCAATTTCATAGCCCATCCTGATTTCAAATGAATCTACAATGAAATTTAGGAATGATGACATCTATTCAACAATAACCTACTAAAAATAATACAGTAGCAGAAGTCACTAGATCTAAATTCCATTCTGGGCTCTATTACTGATGTTAAGCCTGACTGCAAGTCACTTAATTCCTCTGTACCTCAGTCACACTCCCTATAGAACAGACCTAGTTATACTTCCCTGCTAAGTCTCTTTACAGGGATATTACTGGACTAAATGAAACTTGAGCTCCTCCATTACAATTAATAGAATCCCATAGTTACAAGGGACTCCCAAAGGTCATCTGGTCGGTCCCTTTGCCTTCAAGAAATCTTATACCTAATTGAGCCCAGAAATATGAGCCTTCAGTTTGCTTTCCATACTCCGAGTTCCTACAAATTCAGTGTATTAAATGTAATAATAATAACTCATTATAAGAATTATCATTATGTTCATATTTCTAACAATTTTTATGAGCCATAAAGTAGACAGAAGCAAAAAAAACAAAATGAGGAGAAAATAAAACTTTGATCTAATATTTCCCAACTTAGCTTGCTGTGATACTGTTCGAGGATTATCATTTACAAGTAAAAAAAAATGCGATGTTTCCTTAGGGAATCAGTTCCAATAAAAGAGGGAACACCCACAGTAATCAATTTATTGAAACCTTGCCTCATCTACGTAAGGATGGGCATATGCAATAAAAGGGACTGATAATATTGTGTTGGAACATAAAAACCTACTAAGTAATTTGATCTTGTCATAATGTCTGTGGGCTTGCAGACATGAGTAAATGCAACAAGAATACCACGACATAAATTCTCTGGGAAACCATCCATGGGCAAAAAGTGCTATTGAATGGCTTTATGGCCTTGGGCTGTTGCACAGCACATTTATCTGACAATTCTATGACTCTATTAGCAAGACTAATGGTTTGTTCTACTCCATTTAAAAGCCAAGTGTCACTTCTGAAGTCCCAAGTACACAACTCCTGAAATTTACAGATTTAAAACCAGCCCCAAACTCCATCACAGTAGCAATGCTTATTTCTGGTGCCAGCTAATAAATGTAATTTGGGTGTGGCTTTTTTTTAAATAATAAAATATTTGCTATGTTTTAGATGTCTTAAGAAACACATTTCTTTACTTGATGATTTCTAGATTACAAAATAGCATCAGTTTCCAAACAGACCTCTCAGCATATTATTAGAGTAACTAAAACTCCAATCCATGGAACTCTTTGAGATTTTTAAAGCTGTGTTCAGAATCAAGCCTGTCCTAGGAAAAAAATATATTCAGACAACGCTAATGGTAATTAAGTATATGGTAGACAACCAACAACCCTATACCATCATCTTTTTATTGGGTTGGGTTTTTGCTGCTGTTGCTTTTGGTAAATGTAGTCATTACATTGTTCAATAACTGGTACTCTTAAACTTTGATTCTTAGTGAGCATACTTCATTATATTATATTGTTCAATAACTGGTTTTCTTGAACCTTGACTCTCAAACCAGATTTTTGCTATCCCACAAATTACTCTCTTTTAGAATGGCATTAACTCTTTCAGGCCACTAAAGTGCCTCTTAGGAAATCACTATAGCGTCTGAAATGGTGAATTACAATGCAGCCTCCACCAGGCCCTACTCATTCTGAATCAGCAGATTCCACACTGGGAGCATCTCACTCAACAAGTTAAACATTTCACAGTGGGCAGTGATTTTGTTATATTAATGACTACACCTATATCTATGTGATTCAAAACTTTATATATGTACATACAATATACTTCAGTGAAAGTCAGTGTGGAATATTATAGAAAGAGCTAGGGTGGGAACCAGAAAGACCTGGATTTAAGTCTCACCTCTGACCCATACTGGCTGTGTGACCCTGGACGAGTGCCCCAGGCGGCTTTCTAAGACAATAAAATTGCAGAGAAGGTAAAAACCTGCAAAATCACCCATCTGGTGGTTTAAAAAATTGATAATTAAATGATCTCATTGGTATGAGTATTCCCTCTACTGCGGTGCAGATTGTAACCCATATGATTGTAATCCTAAGTGATTCTTACCTCTTTCCTCCCACTGTATCAGCTTCATATCCCAAACTCCCAGCACAGGAGTTCTTAACCTGGGGAGCATGAACCTTGGGGTCTATGAATAGATTTCAGAGGAGTCTATAAATCTGAATGGGAAAAAATACATCTTATTTTCACTAACTTTTGACTCCCTTTGTAATACTATGCATTTCATTTTATACATTTAAAAACATTTAGAGAAGGGGTCCATAAGCTTCATCAGTTTGTCAAAAGGGTTCCATGACACAAAAAAGGTTAAAAATCCTTGACCTAGGATATAATGGTTGCTTAATAAGTGCTTATTAAATTGAATCAAATCATACAAACTATTAATTACTTCCCTTTCAGAATCATCTGATTCTAAAATGTGATTCTCTCTACCAGGTGCCAACAACAATGGAGATGTTTTGCTGCTATGGTCCTGTAGTCCCGAATGGTTATGGCACATGCTATAATCCTCAAGCCGAGCACATATTGTTCTGCATTTCCAGCTTCCATGACTGCAAAGAGACCTCTTCTGTCAAGTTTGCTAAAGCCATAGAAGAAAGCCTCATTGAAATGAGAGATCTATGCAGCAAACACAATACTGTGACAGCAAAGCCATCAACCAACCAGGAAAAAACCCCCAAACCCCAAGAGGCAAAGAAGCTCTAATTCTTTTCTCTGCATCACTATGCAGGTTCTACTACTCCCTGTGTTCCAAACCCCTAAATGTGTTGTCTACCCCAGCTTTCTGCAGCTTCCAAATTCGTAGGACGCACTTCTAAAATTATGCTGAGGCTTCATGAAAAGCTACAACATTGTGAAGCAGAAGATACCATTAATTACATATTAGAAGTACAATTATCCATTCAAAGCTCAAACCAGTCTGTGCCCTGTGAAATGCTTCAGTCTTTGCTCTGTCGTCAGCAATCAAGGGTAACCTTGTCAAGTTCAAAGTGGTCCTACTGAGGACACACACTAGCTTTGTTTTTTATTACTTATTTCAGTACAGCACTCGCCCAACTAATGTTTTACATGGCATAAAATGTGCCATTCTATTCTAACTGGCAACCACAACTAATTCCATAGCTAAATGAATATAAATGACATCTGACTCATTATTTTTTTTAAGGGTAGAGATTCAAATTCTAAATGATTGACTCACATGGTTTAAGAGTGCCATTGAGAGACAAGAGACACATAGACAGAGAGATAAAGAGACAGAGAGACAAAGCAACAGACAGACAAAGAGAGAGAGAACCATTACTAAGTTAGTTACATAATGCAGTGATTCACAAGAAAGTCCAGGTCTATTAAGAATATGATGCCTTGGAGCTGGAAATCAATCCTCCCTTTCTGGTTTTAAGAGTAGTTTGGGGTAGAATACAGAAAATCTTGATCTGCTGTTCATAAAAGAAAGGGAAGACTTCTCATAATGGCTCTCACTTCATTGCCTTTTCACTCCCACCTGTGGAGAGAGATAGAAACCTAGAAGACATTAGAGTCAGAGATGAGTGAAATGCAGAGACAAAGAACAGAATATCATTTTAATGGGATACTGTCCATTTCCCAGGGAGTGGAGAGGTGGGGATGGGCTTGGGGTAGGGTACTGACCATTAGTGCTTCTTCAGAGCACTCCTCTCCCCCTCTATATTTGACCCAAATACATTCTAAAATGAACAAATATATATCAACAGAAAACCTTATGGCTAGCCTTTTTTTAGTGAGGGGTTTGTTTGCTTTGGGGTTTGGGTTTTGTTGGTCTCAAATTCCAAATCAAAGCAGAGTTTAGAGACAGGCCTTCACTTATCACACAAATGTTATTGCTGCCATTATGTAATATACATAATGAATCACTAGCTACATTCTGGTTTGTTTGTTTTTTAATCAAGACAAATTGCATCCATCTTTGAAGAATGGTTCTCTCTTCTTATTCTTTCCCCACCTGAAGTTGTAGTTTTCTTTGTATGTCCAGTACTTAGCAGAGTGCCTGGCAAATAATTAGGCTCTTAATAAATGCTTGTTGACTTAAAGGGATCAAATTGTTCGAGCTGTATCAGTATGGATTAGGTAATTCCTTCTAGTATGAGTTACAAGTAACTGTTTTACCACATTTCAAAGGCATGGATCTGTTTGAAGCAGCAGAGACTCAAGTTATGTTCTAGGCTACCTTGATATTAATGGAAAGTCATAGCTATTTCTCGTGGGGTCACTCTGTGATTCTATGGAACATATAAGATGGTTAATTAAAACAAGGCTGGTTGAACCAAACTCATTTCTACCACTATATATGAATGATAGAATGTAAACATATATTACCTGTGCAAAGCTGTTAACAAGATACTTAATATATTTTATGTTTTGAAGTTAGATGCACATTTTTATGCACTTGGAGAGTTTTAAGTACAGGTGTTTGACTGGCAGAAAATAGTAGCTTTTCCCTTAGAGAAAGGGAACAGAAAGAGACCTGTCCAGTCCAAGAAAGATCAGAAATATCAAATATTTATGCAAAGGCAAAACTGAGCCATAACCATAGGAATACTTTTAGGTGGGACCTCTTACATGTGTATCCAAAGAGTCAGTTAAACCTGGAGATTCATTCTGAAATGATGAAGCAAATTAAAAATGTATATGACTTTCCCATATTCCCTATAATTTGCCAAAATATAGAGTTGATATTTTAGTCCTATTTTTATAAAATAGTATAGATTTATGGCAATGTATAAATTGTATTTATAGCAGCTGAATTTTAAGTTATAGTTTTGTGCTTCAAAAATGTGTGTATATGTATGAAGAAAAGAACTGTATATTGATAAACATGACAAAGTATTTAAGAAATATAAATCTGTATTCAATAAAAAGAAAGATGTCACTTGCTTTCATTTTAATTTGTAGTAGCTGTGTACTGTGCTTTGTTTGGTATTATCCCTATAAGTTATGTCAACCAGTATCTAGGCATTTCTCTAGTGACCAATCAGCACGTGTCCTATAGATATTAGGACAGGCAGAAAAATGTAAGGTGGAAAAATGTATTTGTTTCCCCTATTACATTGCAAGATGACAAGGATGGATGTATGCTTTAAGATAATAGCATTATCCTATAACAGTGTTGGTAGAAGACTTGGATGATAAGGTGATTGATAGTATAAACCCTCAAGGGCGAGGGTTTAATTGTTTAAAATGAGAGAACCAAACAGAGATGGAAAGAGTCAGAGACAGAGAACTGATATGCAAATACACAGAAATAGACATCCAAGTATGGTATAGTGGGGAATGTACTAGGGTAAGAATCAGGAAGCCTTTCTCAACTCTGCCACTGACTTGCTGTTTGACCATGGGCAAGTAAATTAATCTTAGTCTGTTTTCTTTCTGTAAAATATGGATAATAATAATACCTTACTCACCCACCTTGTAGGAGTATTGTGATAATCAAATGAGATGACATATTAATAGGAGAATGAATGAAAAAGCATTGTGTCAGGCATTGTGCTAGAAAGCATTCACATATATGTAAAAGCACTTAGAAAAAGTATAAAGTTTTACAAATGTATTATTTTAATATGTACACACATTCACAACAGTAACCTATATTCATTCCCTATAGCAAGTATCATTCCTCAACCCCAAGAAACAGAAGGAATCAGTTCAAAAATTCCTCTCAATTTAAAGCCAAGCCCCCCTAAAGTATAGATGTGGTAGGGATTTTTCTTCTATTTCTTTTTTTAACCACACCTGTGATTCCATCGGGACAGAGAGATCCTGGTAAGGAACTTCCTTTGCCAATGCAGATCACCATTTCTGAGAGTCTCTGGGGAATGCATGGGGGCACTGAGAGGTTAAGTGATTTGTCCAAGGTTACAGAGGCAGGATGTATTTCTGGACTTCCACCCAGGTCTTCCTGAGCCTGGTGCCATCTCTCTATCCACTATGCTAAGCTTCTTCTCATTAAATTAACTAAAAAAGGAAAATTTAATACCAAATTAAAAAAAAAAGGTCAGCTCACCAGAAGTTCCCCCTTATTTGCCACATTCTTCCTAAATAACTGGGAAATAAGAGACAGTAAAAGAAACAGAGTAGGTGAAAGATAAACAAACACACTAACCACCTTGATCTCAGCTTGAGGAGATATGCCATTATCTATTACTCTTTCTTCTCTTTTAGTTTAATATTGTTTGTGTATTGGATACAGGAGATAAAAATATTGTATAGAGAAAAGTGCTCCAGGTGACTGCTAAAGCAGTTTGAAACAAAAACTAATAACTTCTCTAAATTAATCCTAAGTTTCTCCCCCTAGGGAGGAAGAATATCGATCTGTGCTGCATTTGAAAATTCAAAACTTCCCTCCCTTCTCACTTTTCAGTCATTCCCTGTAAGCATCCCTGTAGTGGGATGTAAATGTCCAAATCAAGAGAGAAAAACATATTCATTTCTGCCTGTTTTTCATTTCTTATAGCACAATGGTATTTCATTACATTTATATACCACAACTTATTCAGCCAATCCAATTGATGGGTATCCCCTCAATTTCCAATTCTTTGCCACCACAAAAAGAGCTGCTATAAATATTTTTGTACATGTGGGTCTTTTTCCCTCTTTTATACTCTCTTTGGGATACAGACCTAGTAGTGGTATTGCTGGATCAAGGATAACATGTTCACTTCTTGGAGAAACTTCTGCCAACTTTCCATCTCAACTCCAAATATCTAAATCCTACTCATACAAACTTTAGTGAGTGGATTTTCTGTGAAGCCTTCCTTGACCTCCCTAGTTCATGGTGATTTCTCATTCCCTCCCCGCTGCCCCCCAACAACATCCTATGGCATTGAAAATCACAGTACTTATTCAGCATTTATCTTCTTGCTATGCTACATTAATAGTTACTTCGTTGATGCCTGTATTCTTGTCCTTCCTTCGAGCATTTGTTCCATGAGGCAAAGCATGAATGCATATCTTTCTCTTTTCCAGCAGCAATCAACACAATATCTTACACAAATCAATTCATCAGCACCTATTTATTAAGTCCCTACTATATGCCAGGCACAGGGGACACAAAGACAAAAATGAAACAGCCCTTGCCCTCAAGGAACTTACATTCTATCACAGCAGGCCTTAAAATTGCACCCAGATTCTAGACACCCTGTCCCCCTAAATAAATTTTTTAAAAATCTTGAGTAAAGGAAACTAGTAGCTGGGGAGTGGAAGGAGGCCAGGGATCAGGAAACATCTAACGTAGAAGGTGTCTCTGAGCAGTTTTAAAGGAAACAAGGAATTGGAAGAGTCAGAGCTGAGAACAGAGCGTGCTCCAGATATAGAAAACCACTGCAAAGGTGCAGAGATCAGAGATCATATTCAAGAAACAGCAAAAAGACTTGGGCTGAAGGGGAGTAATGTATAAAGTTGGAAAGACAGGTCCTATAGGGCCTTAAAGGTGAAAGGGAGGAACTTAGGTTTGATGATGAAGATAAGGAGGAGTCATTGCAGTTTCTTGAGCAGGGAAGTGGCACTCTGGGAACTGCTCTAGAAGAAAATCCCTGGCAGGTGTGTGGAGGATGGATTGCAAAATGGGCTGAAGCAGGAAGACCACCTGGGAGGCTACTGCCATAGCCAGGGGTGTTGGCGCCCCAGTACTTCACACAAGGCAAGGGACTGAGAAAGGAATGGTAGATTTAACACTTCAGGAAACTCCTCTACCCTCTCCTCAGTTTTTTGTTCTTGGGTGTTCAGTCGGGTCTGACTCTTCATGACCCCATTTGGAGTTTTCTTGGCAAGGATACCTACAAGGTTTGCCATTTTCTTCTCCAGCTCATTTTACACATAAGGAAACTGAGGCAAACTGAGCTAAGTGACTTGCCCAGGGACACACAGCTACTAACTGTTAGAGGCCATATTTGAATTCAGGTGTTCCTGACTCTGAGGCTCTATCCACTGAGCCACCTAGTGGCCCACCCTCTTCAGTCAGACCAAATTCACTTTTCTAACTGCCTCGTCTTGAACCAGGTCCACTAAGAACGCAGGGGCTTTTTCCGGATAAACCCTTGCCAAGCCAGGCCCTGTGGCCTCTCCTTGTACGGTGAGTCCCGAGTCCACAAGAGGCCCATTATCTCACCCCACCCCTGCCCCCGGCTTTCGGTCACCACAAACTTCATAAGTCCGCCTTCTATGACTTCATTAAGCAGGCCCGGACAGAAATGCGGAACCGGGCCCAGGCCTGAGCGTGGAAGCCCCGATCCTGTTCAGTCACCGGATTCTACTACACTCCTCCGGGGTCCCCTCTCGAGGGGTCTCCGCCCTCAAGCCCTCATTTGTCCTTGGACTCCCCCCTTCCCGCCCCCACCAAGTGACCGGAAGAGACTCCGCCCGTAGAAACCTCGGCCGCGCCCACAGAGGGGCCATTCTGTCCCCAGCCCCCCCCTCCTCCCCGCCACCGGTCTGCGGCCCACGCCGAGTCTGCGCCTGCGCCTGCTCCTACACCTGCGCCTGCGCGGTCTAAGATGCCAGGAGAGCTCTTGTCTTCTTGCGCTACGGTCCCTACCGCCCACTGAACCTGACTGTGGAACACCGCACCTTCCGCCTGCGGGGCCTGCTAAGTGAGCGCCGGCAGGGGGTGCACGGGGGAGGGGTTGGGGCGGAGGCGGGGCCCAACCCGTGGGGGGCGGGGCAGCATGGCCACGTGCTCCGGGGAGCTGGAGGCCGGGAAAGGCGAGGTCAAGTTCTTCTGCCTCCGACAAAGCCAGATGGGGGCCCCGGGAAATGCATTTAGTATGTTTGCCTCAGTGCCCTCATCTGTAAAAATGGAGATCGTGATAGCTCCTCCTCCCCCTGTTGTTGTGAGGCCCACGTGAGAATAGTTGTAAAGCTCTTAGCACAGAGGCTGGCGCACAGTAGGTGCTGTATAAATGCTTGTTTCCTTCCTTCTTCCCTTACCCCTCTCTTCCTTCTTTCCTTTTCTGCTTCCTTCTTCCTTTCTCTTTTCTTCCCTCTCTTCTCTCCTTTCCTTCCTTCTCTCTTCCCTCTCTCAGTTCTTTCTTCCCTCCCTTCCATCCATCCATCCATCCATCCTTCCTTCCTTCCTTCCATCCCCCTTCCCCACAGGACAGAATAAAAAGAAATGGGTAAAAGTTTCAAAGAGGCCAATTAGTAATATGAAAGGAAACTTGCCAACAATTGCAGCTGTCCCAGAGTGGAAAAGTCTGCCTTGAGAACTGTGGCTTCACACCCAGAGGCTAGATGAAGAGTCTGGTGTGTCATGGGTATGGTGTGGGTTGGACTAACTCTCCGCAGAGATCTCTTCCAACTTAATGATTCTGGAATTAATACAGCAATGTATCTATGCTTTCTCAACCTGTGTGATTCTTGTCTTATGTCTTTCCAAAAATCTTTCATGAAGAACTCCCTCAAATTGATAGAGCCTCCTAGGATTTTTTTCCGTATCAAAACCAGTTCTTCCATTCAATCAGACAATAAAAATTTAGTAAGTGCCTGCTACATGCCAGGCACTATACTGAGTGCTCAGAATACAAAGAAAGGTAAAAGAGGGCCCCTGCTTTCAAGGAGCTCACATTCTCAATGGTTTCATTTTAAAAGAATTTATTTAGTAATAATAACTGTAAGTCATTTCTGTAAATCATATGGTGATTTTCCTAAGTGCACATCTGACCATGTCATTCAGTTACTCAACAAACATCAGTGACTCCCTATTACCTCTAAGATCAAATTTAATCTCCTCCATTTAGTTTCCAAAGCCCTTACAACCAGTCCATAACCTGTATCAATCAATTTCCCATACTCTGGTCTAATACAGCTTGAGTGGTCTTGGTAGAAGTGTCAAAGAGGAGGTATATGAGAGAGATTATTGTGATGGTACACACACAACCCAATGACTGATTAGATGTGGCAGATGAGAGGAAATAAACAGACAAAAGTGACTCTTAAGGTTTTTTAGCTTACACGAGTCAGAGAATGGCAATGCCATTATAAGAAGTAAAGAAGCTAGAAAAGTCTTCAGAGCTAAGATGATAAATTTAAGATACCAAAGTAGTAATGTCCAAGGGGTCAATTTAAATTGAGAACTAGAGAGTTCTGGTCAAGATGATTGCCTGAATGGAGGCAGGCTGACCAGCTCCCCTACTCCTACTTCACCAAAACCTGAAATTTCTCCCAGACCAAATAATGATTAAGAAATCCAATCAGGAAACTAAATCTAGTCCAACCAAGAAGCTAAAGTAAGTGACTTCTTCTACCCCAAAAGTGTACAAAAAGGAATTCAGTAGCCCATAGATTATTGGAAAGGGGACCTCCAAAAAAGCCATCACCCAAGTAGGGAAACAAGGCAGCAGCCTCCACCAGAGGTGGGCCAGAAACAAGGACAGCCTGTAGGGTTCTGTGTCCAGAGGCAGCAGAAGTAGAGGGCTTCCACTAGAGAGCCTAAGGATGATTCAGAACTGACAACAGGGACCTCAGGAAACACCAGTGACCAGTGCCAGCATGGCTTTGATTGGGGACACTCCAGGACACGGAGGTTCCTTGCACTCTGCCTTGAGATACTATAGAAAGCCCAGACCTCAAAGATCAGGAGAGGGGTGCTAAACCTGGAAAGTGGGGATCAGCCCAGGAAACTAGGGGACCTTGGGCAAGATGAAGCTGCCCAACCTTCCCACCCAAAAATTCAGCATGGGATAGAGCCTGGCTATGGCACAGGGCCCTAATTCAGGAACTAAAGAAATGAGTAAGGGGCAGCTAGGTGGCGCAGTGGTTAAAGCACCGGCCCTGGAGTCAGAAGTACCTGAGTTCAAATCCAGCCTCAGACACTTAACAGTTGCTAGCTATGTGACCCTGGGCAAGTCACTTAATCCCAATTGCCTCATCCAAAAAAAAAAAAACCAAACCAAAAAAAAAAACAAGAAATGAGTAAACCGAAGGGGCAGCTAGGTGACACAGTGGATAGAACTGGTCCTGAAGTCTGAAAGTTGTTCACTCATTTTCAGTTGTGCCTGAATCTTCATAACCACATTTGGGGTTTTCTTGGTAAAGATATTGGAGTGGTTTGCCATTCCCTTCTTTAGTTTATTTTACAGATGAGGAAACTAAGGCAAGCAGGGTTAAGTGACTTGCTAAGGATCACATGACAGTAAATGTCTGAGGCTGGATTTGAACTCAGTTTTCTTTCAGTTTCCTTATCTGTAAAATAAATTGTAGAAGGAAATGGCAAACCACTCCAGTATCTTTGCCAAGAAAACCCCCAAATGGGGCTACAAAAAGTCTTACATGAATAAACAACTAAACAACAATAAACCAAAGAAAACACAAACAGTAGTTGTTTTTTAAATAGCCAATTGCGGAATATAAAATAATACTGCATAACTCATCACCCTTTCTACATATTACCAATAAAACCCAGCAGCAATAGATAGAAAGATCCCATTTAAAATAACTGTAGACAATATAAAACACTTGGGAGTCTACCTGCCAAGACAAACCCAGGAACTATATGAACACAATTACAAAATACTTTTCACACGAATAAAGTCATATCTAAACAATTAAGAAAATATCGATTGTTCAAGGGTAGGCCAAGCCAATATAATAAAAATGACAATTCTGCCCAAACTAATTTACTTATTCAGTGCCATATCAAACTACCAAAAATTATTTTATAGAGCTAGAAAAAATAACAAAATTCATAGAGAAGAACAAAAGGTCAAGAATATCAAGGGAATTAATGGGGGAAAAGTGCAAAGGAAGGGGGCCTAGTAGTACCAGTTCTCAAACTATCTTATAAAATGTCAACCATCAAAACTATCTGGTACTGGCTAAGAAATAGGGTGGTGGATCAGTAGAATAGATCAGGTACACAAGACATCGTAGTAAGTGACCATAGTAACTCAGTGTTTAATAAACCCAAAGACCCCAGCTTCTGGGATAAGAACTCACTATTTGACAAAAACTGCTGAGAAAACTTGAAAACGATATGGCAGAATCTAGGTATAGGCCAACATCTTATACTGTATATCAAGATAAGGTCAAAATGAGTACATGTTTTAGACGTAAGGGGTGATACCATAAGCAAATTAAGAGAGCAAGGTATAGTTTACCTGTCAGATGTGTGGAGAAGGGAAGAATTCATGACCAAACGAGATAGAGAGCATTAGAAAATGTAAAATAGATGTTTTTGATTATATTAAATTAAAAGGTTTTTGCACAAACGAAACCAGCACAATCATGATTAGAAGGAAAGCAGAAATCGAGAAAACAATTTTTAGAGCAAATAAGCCTGGTGAAGGCCTCACTTCTCAAATATATAGAAAGCTGAGTCAAATTTATAGGAAAACAAGCCATTCCTCAATTGACAAATGGTCAAAGAATATGAACAGGCAGTTTTCAGATGAAGAAAGCAAAGCCATCTATAGTCATATGAAGAAATGCTTAATATCATTTTTGATTAGAGAAATGCACATTAAAACAACTCTGAGGTACCACCTTATAGCTATCAAATTGGCTAATATAACAGAAAAGAAAAAGGATAAGTATTAGACAAGATACGGGAAAATTGGGACTCTAATGCATTGTTGGTGGAATTGTGAACTGATCCAACCATTCTGGAGAGCAGTTTGGAACTATGCCCAAAGGGCACTCAAACTGTATATCTTGTGATCCGGCAATATTACTATTAGGCCTCTATCCCAAAGAGATCATTAAAAAAAAAAAAGGGAAAAGGACCTACGTGCAGAAAAATATTTATAACAACTCCTCTTGTGGTGGCAAAACCTTTGAAATTGAGGGGATACCCATCAATTGGGGAGTGACTGAACAAGCTGTATATGAATGTAACAAAATACTATTGTGCAATGAGAAATGATGGGCAGGCAGATTTCAGAAAAATCTGAAAGGACTTACATGAACTGATGCAAAAAGAAATAAACAGAACCAGGAGAACATTGTACACAGTAACAGCTACATTGTATAATAACTATGAATGAATTAGCTCCTCTCAACAATACAATGATCCAAGACAATTCCAAAAGATTCATATTGGAAAATGCTATCCCCATCCAGAGAACAAACTGATGGAGTCTGAATACAGATTGAAGCATACTATTTTTTTCCTTTTTTCTTGGTTTCTTTTCCCTTTTGGTCTGTTTCTTCTTTCATAACATGACTAATATGGAAATATGTTTTACATGGTTATACATAAATAACCTGTATCAAATTGCTTACTGTTTTAGGAAGAAAGGAGAAGAGGGAGGAAGGGACAGAAATTTGGAACTCAAAATTTTTGTAAAAATGAATGTTAAAGGGGCAGCTAAGTGGTGCACCAGCCCTGGAGTCAGGAGGACCTGAGTTCAAATCTTGACACTACCTGTGTGACCCTGGGCAAGTCACTTAACACCATTGCCTAACCCAAAACAAACAAACAAAAAAGGAATGTTGAAAATTGTCTTTACGTATAATTGAAAAAAATACTGTTAAAAATGTAAAAAATTTTAAAATTGTATACCTAGAGATCCCACCAAAAGAAAAAGAGATTACCTTTATAACAACTTATAGGCAGAGATTTAAAGAAAGAAGGCAGATTTTCCACAAAGACTAC